GGCTTTTTCTGCTTATGTGGTGCTGAGGAATCGAACCCAGGGCCTCATGCATGCAAGGCAAGCGCTCTACCACTGAGCCACCTTCCCAGCCCTCCTCCCCCACCTGGTTCTAGCTTTTTGATTGGAGGTAAGAGTATTATGAACTTTCCTGCCTGGGCTGGCTTTTAATTGTAATCCTCAGATCTCAGACTCCTGAGCAGCTGGGATTATAGACGTGAGCCACCTGGCACCCAGAAGGAGTCCCATTTTCTTTTCTTTAAAAAAAAATTTTTCCCCAGCATCACTTCCGGTTTTCTGGAGGTTCACTGGAGAAGAGTCTCACAGTCAGGTGCTGGTGGCTCACCCCTGTTATCCTTGCTACTCAGGAGGCTGAAATCTGAGGATCATGGTTCAAAGCCAGCCCGGGCAGGAAAGTTTGTGAGACTCTGATCTCCAATGAACCTCCAGAAAACGGAAAGTGGCGCTGTGGCTCAAGTGGTAGAGCGCTCACTTTGAGCTGAAGAGCTCAGGGACAGTGTCCAAGCCCAGAGTTCAAGCCCTATGACTGATATGACAGAGAGAGAGAGAGAGAAAATGAATCAGTCTTGCAGACTTTTCTGTCCAGGCTGGCTTCGAACTGGGATCCTCAGATCTCAGCCTCCTGAGTAGCTAGGATGACAAAGCGTGAGCCATTAGAGCCCAGCTTGCAACTGGCAACTGAGAACGTTCTTGAAGAGCCACTGGGCCACTGGCTACAATATAGATGGCCCTGTCCTGTGGGAGTCCCGGCTGCCTGTTCCCTGCCCAGGTCACCCCTAACTCGGTGGAGAACCAGCACCTCTTCCGGATCCTGGACAACGGCTCCATCATCCTCAATGGCAGCCTCAGCTACAATAACAAGAGCTCCTTCTACCAGTTGGAGCTGAAGGCCTGTGTGAGTAGGGGAGGTGTGCGTGTATGTGCGCGCGCCTGCATGTGTGTGTGTGCATGTGTGTATGCGTGTGCATGTGTATGTGTGTGCATGTGTGCATGCATGCATGTGCATGTGTATGTGTGTGCACGTGTGCATGCATGCATGTGCATGTGTATGTGTGTGCACGTGTGCATGCATGCATGTGCATGTGTATGTGTGTGCATGTGTATACATGCATATATGTGTGTGTGCGTGCATGTGTGCATGTGTATGTGTGTGCATGCACGTGGGTATGTGTGTGTATGCATGTGCACGTCAATGTGTATGTATGTGCATGTGTGTATGTGTGTGCATGTGCATGGGTGTGCATGTGTGTATGTGTGTGCATGCATGCATGCGTGTACATATGTCCGTGTGTATGCGTGTGGATGTGTATACATACATGCATGTGTGCACGTGTATATGTGTGTATGTGTGTGCATGCACGTGCGTGCGTGTGTATATATGCGTGTACGTGCATGTGTATGTGCATGCGTGCACATGGGTATGCATGTGTGTGTGCATGTGTGCGTGTGCACGTGAATGTGTATGTATGTGCATGCATGTATGTGCATGTATATGTGTGCATGTGTATATGTGTGCATGCACGTGGGTATGCGTGCATGTGTGCATGTGTGTGTATGTGTGTGCACGTGAATGTGTATGTGTGTGCATGCATGCATGTGCGTGTATATGTGTGCATGTGTATGTGTGTGCGTGCACGTGGGTATGCGTGCGTGTGCATGTGTATGCACGTGCATGTGCATGCGTGCAGGGGACCGCCGGGACCCTCAGCCCCGGCTCACAGAAGGCCTCTTCCTCCTTGCAGGATTTAGGAGGCCTACTGAATGGCAAGAACATCACCCATTGCTCCCAGCCCGTCTACCTGTCCATCTCCGTGGTGGACCAGGCGGATCTGGACCCCCAGTTTGTCCGGGATTTCTACTCGGCCTCCGTGTCTGAGGATGCAGCTCTGGTGGGTGTGGGGTTGGGGGGCGCAGGGGGGCTGCCCTGTGGGAGGGGAGGGCAGGGCTCTGAGCTGGCTGGTCTCCTTCCAGGGAAGCTCTGTGTTGGCGGTGGAGGCTGTGGACGGCGACAGAGGCGTCAAGGACCCTGTGATCTACAGCATCTCTAGTGAGAACTGGGCCTGGGGAGAGGGCGGGGCTCTACGAAGACCCTCCCAGCTGCTCAGGAGGCTGAGATCGGAGGATCGCGGTTCAAAGCCAGCCTGGGCAGGAAAGTCCATGAGACTCTGATCTCCACTGAACCACCAGAAAACCGGAAGTGGCGCTGTGGCTCCAAGTGGTAGAGCGCTCGCCTTGAGTGGAAAAACCCCAGGGACAGCGCCTGGGTCCTGAGTTCAAGACCCACAACCGACCAAACAAACACCTCTCACCTTCTTCTCTGACAGACTCTACCAAGTCTGGATGGTTCGAGATCGAGACTGAGGGGGGAGTGGGGGTCATCAGGGTTAATGACACCCTAGACCGAGAGCAGCTGCTGCAGGAGGATGAGGAGGTGCAGGTTCAGGTCACGGTGAGTGTGTGGTAGGGTTCCTAACCTCCCTCACCTCTGACCCTTGCCTTGGCTCTTTGACCTCTGACCTCTGCCCCTGGGCCTCAGGCCACGGAGGAGCATCTCAACATCTACGGTCAGGAAGCCCAGGCGAGCGTGTGGGTCACCATCCGGGTGACGGATGTCAACGATCACAAGCCGGAGTTTTACAACTGCAGCCTGGAAAGCTGCGCCTTCACGGCGGACGAGGCCCAGGCCAGCTTCACGGGCTGGGTGGAGGAGCACGCCGCCTCCCGCATCCCCATCGAAGGTCTCACCATGGTGGCCTACGACCCCGACAAGGCAGGCGCCGGGGCTGGGCCCGGGGACGGGGTCACCGGGTGCCTCGGGGGGCTGCGATCGGAGAGATCGCAGATCAGATCGAACCCGGCCGGGGGCGGGCAAGTCCACGCACCTGCCACTGGCCACCATTGCAAAAGCCAGAAGCGGGGCTGTGGCTCCCGCCTTGAGCCATGGTGAACTGTGCCACGCGGGGTGTGGGGGTGGCCTGGGGGGGTCCCCAGGCGGCGGAGAGCCGGCGCACAGCACCGTGTCCCAGACCTGGGGATCCTAGTGGGTGACCTGGGACGTGGGGGCGGGGGTGACCCCACGTGGGAAGGGGGGAGTCACCTGGGGTAGATCTCCATGACTGAGGTCCGTGGCAAATCAAGCACAGGGCGGG